TGTCATCGCAGTACTGTCTGATTTTGCTTGCTTCGCTGTCAGTCGAACAAACGAAGACTAAAGCGTGAATGACGCTCTGTATACGATTTTAAAGCCCTATAAGTTCGGACACTTTTTAGGGCGGACCCGACGTCCATATAATTGAAAGTCAATGCACTGCCCTATTATTTAAGTAATGCATCGAAATTAACACACCCTTGATAAGAAATTTAAAATAAATAGAAAGTTTTACCACCTCCAAAATATCACCCTTTATAAGATACGAGTTTCAGAAAGTAAAGCATCGCTATGTTAGTTGTCAAGTGCGATATGAAGCATCTAGTACATTTTTGAAAATAAAACTAATCGCCAGGACTGGTAGCTGTAAAGGTACTAACTGGGTGATAAACCTGTAATAGATTTCTCATAGATGGCGCTACGACTAAAAAGTCGTTGAAAGACCAAGTTCAAAGACACGAGGCCCGTTGGTTCGTTCCGTGGCTTAGTTGGTATAGCGTCTGGCACGGTATGCAAGAAGACGTCGGTTCGAATCCGACCGGATCGAAGGAATTTTTTCTGAGTGTTCTTTGTATTAATAATTACAACAAACTAGTGGAGTAATTTCACAAAAAATAATTGAATATCAATTCAATAAAAATTTTATAAAACTAATTCATTAATTAAAAAACTAATTAATTATATAATTGATGCCAATCCGCAGCGTAGGCTTCGTCACATAAAAATTAATAATGCAATTCGCCAGACTTAGACATTTTTATCCAAACTAAATACAATGAAAATGGACCACTCTGAATCTTAGCTGGTTCAAACGTCCCCATAACACTGGTAGCATTACCGCGCTGAATGGCCTTCGAAATTTGTTGCACTAAGTAATATCCGCAGCGTGGATCACAGCGTACATTTTTTCCATCGAGTATATAACCAGAATCAGTTAATTTGTTTGAAAATTATTCTACCATATCATTACTGTGACAACTGCGCTCCGATTGGCTAGCCAGAGTTCGAAACAATTGACGGGTGTCGTCAACTGTTTCACTTCAAATCGACCAGTTAACTTGAGCTTTGCTATAATGGACGAAAATTGCAAAATTACTACTAGATGAAATTTGATTCTCTTTATTTTGTAATTAGACGTTTTGCTGTTTTATCCCACACCACCGAATGGAACAGCACGCCATTGTTAAAGATATTATCTTTATTACAATAAATATTCTGTCTGTACACAGGTCAGTTGTTGGCGATGTCTATATTTCAATGCAAACGAGAGTTGATATTTATAAGTGATGTATCACTGATGATTTACCCTTATTTCGTCTCTATTTCTGGTTATATACTCGATGATTTTTCCTACTATATTGCTGTTGCCCACTACAAATTTAAATTTGTCTAAGTGCCATCACATTCTAGTTACACCTATAGTTATCATTGTCAATTATCAGGAATCTTGTCTTATAGTATGGTTTTGTGATCGTCAGTTTCGATGGTCACGGCAGCCTATCAACATGATTTGGACTCGAAAAAAAACCATTTCCAATAATTCGATAAATAAACCGCGATGAAATAAGTACCCAATTAGTTGGGATTAAGATTTAAAAATAATAATTACAACGTTTTCGTATTGAGATCAAACAAATTACTTTCACACACGCATACATAACTTGCTTCCGTTCGTGACGTACACGCCATTGCGTTCTTGTTAGGTACCTACATTTGGCTTGCCTTTTTAAAGAACCTGGGGAAGGTCAACCTCTGCTTGAGACACAGAACAATTTAGTTAGTGTCTCACGCGTGGCAACAGCGGGCCTCATTAGACTTACTTGAGCACAGTCCACCATTTTGGCTTTGTACGGTCTGTTGTGTCAGTTCTTTCGCTTAAATTCCCTAAAATCGTAGAAAAGTCTTATTTTTATAAATTGTTTTTGTTTTTTTTGTTACAAGAAACGAAAGTAAAGCTTATACCCTTGCAATATGGTCGCTACTATTTTGGAGAACTAAATAAATAACTCCAATTCGTCGTCGTTCAGCAAGTAACCGATAGATAGCAGCACATTGACAGAAATTTCAATACCTATAATACCAAAACGTCGAACTTGCAATAATAGGTATTGACGGTATTGAACTTTCAACGATATGCCAACAGGGTAAAGTTTAAATTATATTAACAATCCGGTAATTGTTATTTCTTTTAAAGTTTGAATCTACGACCAATTATTATCATGATTTGGTAGTGTTCGACATTAAATGATTATCACTAGTATCAGGTTTCTTACCACGGTATGACTTCTTTTTATTTTCCCGATATTTCGGAACGGTTTCACGCTCCATGGTCACGGGTTGACTGGACGGCGGCAGGTGACAGCTTTATGAGCAGACATATCTGTCTACCCTCTTGCGCTGTCGACGACTACCTTCATCGCGATTTGTTGTGGCGTTACCATTGTCACTCACTTTTTTCACACAAACCACACTCACTGTATCCACACGCGAAACAGAACTCGAGGTGTTTTTGTTTTTATTACTGCACGCACTAATGACCGGATTCCATGCACTGGACAGTTTAAAACCATCATCACGGTTAAATGTTTTGTACTTCGTGATCTCGATGGCTTCTCGTACCAACCGTGGTATGTAGTGACGTTCTGTCGAGAGTACCTGGGGGCTATGCAACTCGATCCAGTGGTTAGTGTCAGTCTGTGTGAGATGTTGTGCTATAGCCGACTTCTGTCTGCCGCCGTCCAGTCAACCCGTGACCATGGAGCGTGCAACCGTTCCGAAATATCGGGAAAATAAAAAGAAGTCATACCGTGGTAAGAAACCTGATACTAGTGATAATCATTTAGTGAATAACCACGAAAGTCTTAAAATCTGTTCGACATTAGTTCTCTTAGTAACCGAGGCCTAAGGTACTTCCATTTTTTTTCTTCCGTGTCTTAAGATGTGTACGCAGAGTGACCATTCCCATCCATCCCCATTCGCTCCACAATAGCTTCTACAATTTTATTAAATCAAATATGTCACCTTAAATTAATAAATAGAAAGAAGGAATATATTTAAAATACAGTACAATTTAATAAAATAAAAAACGCTGACCTACTTCGGATGTCGCCTATGCACTAAGTCCGATACGAACCCGAGATAATCTAAGTACAGAGTACTAAAATATTTTTTTTGAGTTTTCTTGAAACCTTTTACTAGAAAGTGCACGAAACCGGATTCATCCCCTAGTTTGCCACCCTTAGAGGTGGAATATTTTCTTCAAATTGAAATGGGATCACTCCCTCTTTCCAACAAAAAAGAATCAACAAAATCGGTTCACAAAGAGTTACCGCATAGCACACGTACAAAAAAAATCTACAATTGAATTAGGTTTAGTCGGTTAAAAATACGAATATCGCTTGTACACCTAGAGATAAAATGGTCCCTGTGACATTTCGGACCGTTATTTTTCGGATTTGGAACAGAGGGGTTACTCTTGATCTCCGTCCGACATCCGTCCGAAACATTGACTTACAATTATATGGACGTCGGGTCCGCGCTAAAAAGTGTCCGAACTTATAGGGCGTTAAAATCGTATACAGAGCGTCATTCACGCTTTAGTCTTCGTTTGTTCGACTGACAGCGAAGCAAGCAAAATGAGACAGTACTGCGATGACATTACAATTTAAATTCAACGTTTTAGCTTTTTCATATTCCTTTACATGTCACTACGTTTAAATAGGTTGACTTGGGACATTTTTTTCGTGGTTTTTGTATTAGACCCGTCGTCCATTTATTTGTAAGTCAATGGTCCGAAACAATTACTGTCAATAAGCAATACTTGACCAAATTAAAAGACAGTAATTGTTTCAGACGGATGTCGGACGGAAATCGAGAGTTGACCCCCTGATACGAATAGAACTTAGTATGCAAACACTCTTTCCCTGTATATAAATTTTCATTACATAATTAAATTGCCAGTGAACTAGTATGCTCACGACTGGAACCCAGTAACTGGGCACTAGTTACATTTCTAATTAGATAATAGTAAACTGACGTTTTAAGGCATCGAGTATATAAGCAGAAATAGAGACGAAATAAGTGCCATTCATCCCTGGCAACTAAACAGGCAAATGGGCCTTATATCACTTTTTAATCGACTTCAAAAAAGGAGGAGGTTCACAATTCGACTGTTTGTTTTTTTTTTTGTATATATGTTACGCGATACCTCCGGTATTTGTGAACCGAATTTCATGATTCTATTTTTGTTGGAACGGGGATACTTCCATAGTAGTCCCATTTCATTTTGAAGAAAATTATCCACCTCTAAGGGTGGCTGTTCACGCATGAAGATTCATTTTTATAAATAGCGCCTAACTTTAATTTAGGAGCAATTATTCAAGTGGTTGATTTTGCTATTTCTCCAATTCAAGGCGTTTTTCTCTCAATATACTTTGCGTAGTGAGAACCGATTATTATTATCTCCTGTGTCAAGTCCTGTATTGTGGCGAACTAGGGGATATTTCAATAAAACTTAGCAAATAGACGTAATTCCACGTACTTTTGAGGTCGGTTTTTTTAGTCCTCTGTACTGAGATTATAAATATCAACTCTCGTTTGCACTGAAATCACAAATTAGAAAACTGAAATAGTACAGAGCCAACAACTGACCTGTGTGTACGCCTTTGTATATTCCAAAAATATTCTGTATTTATTGTAATAAAGATAATATCTCTAACTATGGGGGGTTGTTCCGTTCGGTGGTGTGGGGAAAACAGCAAAACATCTAATTACAAAACAAACTTAACCACATTTCATTGGTAATTAAACTTGTGAGTTTTAAATTTTCGTTCACATAGCAAAGCTCAAGTTAAACTGGTAAATTTGAAGTGAAACAATTGACGACACCCGTCAGTTGTTTCGATTTCATTGACCAATCGAAGCGCAGTTGTCACCGTAATGATTTGGCAGAATAATTTTCAAACAAATTAAATGACATTTCGTCTCTATTTCTAGTTAGTAGGTTGCCAGTTCTTGATGAAATAAAAATAGTGTTGTCTTAATTAGTTACATGTCTTGTCTTATTATTCTATGATTTTAAATTTGCACATGACTTCTATTTATTTGATTTGATAATTATAATGAATAATGATTCAATACATGTTACGGACGGCCGCACGCGACTGGCCAGTCAGAACAATAATGCGTAATTCAAGAGCTCCGATTAGTCGAGTGGCGTCCTCGGCGAATTAATAGGGCCGGTACGGTGTGGGAGACACCGTATAGGTATAAATATAAGTGAAATTTATAATTCCCTCATTCGTAATTCATTTGTAATCGTGTTCAGTCGTGTTCGATATTCGATAAGTCGAAATAAGTTTTATGGATATGTACAGTCCACTTTCTAAATCAATAAACCAGAAGATTTAAGTCTCAAAGGAGTTTTATTGAAGAAAAGAAGGATACCGAAGGCAGTTTCTGGTCCGGTTGAGGCGGTTTGGGACAGGGTTATCAACAATACATATCGGATAAAATTATCTATCCCGATTCATAGTTTTGCCTCTTTAATTTTTGACTAAAAATGCGAAAATGTATTATTGAATTTCTTTGTGATATAACTCCACAAATGTTTATTATAATTATTAATACAAAGATCGAACACGTAGAAAGTTCTTTGTAAGTATTTGCATTTGATCAAAAAACGACATCTACGTCTGTTGAGGCACCTGTAAAGGTACCGGTTGCGGTGACAAAGGTTTCTAAAATTTAGCGATGCTGAATGCCGAAACACAAAGATCTTTAACAAAAACACATAGGAGAATTTCGACAACTTGACCCGCAGCTCTGTTGGTAACAGCAATACTACGGTACAGTATGATCGTGGGTTCAAGTCCCATTGGGTCGAAGAATATTCTGTGCTCGATCTTTGTATTAATAATTATAAACTGTGAGAAAGCTAAATATGCACGAAAAAACGTTTGACCTTTAAACACCTCTCTGATACAAACATATTATGGCATGACATTGCTAGCTGTAGCATTTTGTTGTCTCAATTAAAATCATAGACATCAAAATAATTATCAACGTTATTAAATTTATCAATATAAATATCAAATAATAATCGTGATACTTCGAAACCAGATTTCTAGTAACCCCGTCGCTGCCGAAACCACTTAACATGGAGTTAACCCTTGAATAACACTCCCTGACTCTTTAGCGTGCATTCTTACATGGGCCTTTAATGCAGATGCCTTTCTGAAAGCCTGACCACATCCGCAGACGAATGGTCTTTCTCCCGTATGGCACCGGATGTGAGAGATGAGGTCGTGACGTTGCACGAACGCTTTCTCGCAATAGGAACATTGGAAGGGTTTCTCGCCAGTATGGGTGCGTCGGTGGTTTTTTAAAGTACCTGTAAATAAATAGATAGATAGATAGAATCTTTATTCACCACCATGACAAATACATACACAGACACAAGATGCGGACATTAACTTAGACGTAAGACAGTAATATGTTCTAAGATCTCTCTTGGAAGCCATGGGAATAAAAAAGCGCTTACTCAGCATAAATGACTCGGCTGCCCGCGACGCTGGTATTCTATTTTATTTTATTTATAATTCAATTTAGTTCAATTCAATCCAATTTAATTTCATCCAATTTATTTTTTTATTTTTATCTTTTATTTATTTATTTTTTCTTAAACACCTTAGCCACTCATATTTCCAATTTCTGCATATTTAAAAGATACTCTTGCAGCTTCTGCTTGAAAGTTACGCTGTTACGGATAGGGATTATTGTTCCAACAACGAGTGGCTAAGTATCGGAAATTCTCTTTAAATGCCGCGGTACTATGCCGGGGGGTTACAAGCAGAAACACCCTTGTCGACCTTGCTCCAAAGCAAGAGTTTACCGTAGATGACCAAGTGAGTTACTCATACAAATAATAAGGTACCTGAGACTGAACAACATCAAACAACAATCTAGGCAGATGCAATTTAAGGCGCCCCACCCATCGCAACCATGTCAGACTTATTTAGAAAAGGTATCACATGACTCCGAAGTGGTATTGAAAAACAGAAACGGGCACATGCATTTTGCACTCGTTGCAGTAGTCTATGCGTTCTTGCCAAAAGACACGGACCAACGGCAGTGACACAGTAATTAAGTTTGGAGAGTATAAGAGATTCGCATGAGTGAATGCGTAAGTCCAGACTTAAGAAGTTACGAATGTTATAAATGATCTTTAACCTAAAAAGACAGTTCTGTACTACTTTGGCTACGTGCTGCTCAAAGCGCAGTCGACTGTCCATAATGACACCCAAATTCTGAACTATACGTAACGAGAATGGACACTCTCCGTCCCTCCCTAGCTTTAAATAACGCACCACGCCCCGCACATTGCCGGTCACATTGACTGAACGACAACAAGGCTGGCGGCGAGTCGTTTTCGCGCTAAGACGGCTTTGCTATTTGAATATAGTTTTCATTTATTCATAACGAAACTTGTACGTTAATATATAACATCATTGTATGTTACTATTTATAATGAGATGTAATATACTGCCCTCGTAACGAAAAAAGGCACAACTACGAGTACTTTATAAAGCAGTTGAGCCTTTTTTCGTTCTGAGGGCAGTATAGTACACACGGGTTCTTGGATTTTCAATTTGTATTGCCGATAAATATGTAGAGAATATAATAAGTTGAACACGCAATTTCAAATACCTTGGTTACCTTATTTCAAAATACATGTCCAAAATATAACATTTTAGATGCTTATAATTTTTTTTTTTAAATAAACCTTCAGGATTATTTTAGTTAGTGAATTAATGAAAAATATAATATTAAATAGATATAAATGCCTAATGAACATGTGTAATTATTACGATTCTATTATTAGAATTATAGATAACAGATTCGTGTCAAAAGTTTTCGCTATGTTGCCGCTCTGACCACTTACGAGAAAGTGAAGGGTGACCCCCGCCACATCATGCACACATTTGCGCGTGTGCAGATAGCGCCATGCTGTATGTAGTAGTAGGTAAATACTTTTGACCGTTGTTTGGAGTGTCTGGGGTGTGGTGCAGCTATCGTCACGATGGTAAATTGCTCGAGAGGCAGTAGGTCAAATCATTAGTTACGGTTTCACACAACAACAATACTATCAAGTATTAATTAAAGCCAATTTCAATTACGAACAATTTACCTGAAGCTGCAAACCTAGCCGGGCACAAATCACAGCTATAAGGTCTTTCTCCAGTGTGAGTTCTCCGATGCTTCACCAACGAGCTGCTAGTTGTGAACCCACTGCCACATTCGTCGCAGACAAAGGGATGTGCGCCACTGTGTTTGCGTTTATGGGCCACGAGCTCACCTTTGGAAACGAAGCTGGAAAACATAATGGATGGATAAGCCAGAAATACATATAATAGCCCTACAGCATAGAACAATAAGTACGCGAGCCAACAGTACGCGGAGTTCCGCAAAATTGAGCTCGGTCCGCCATTTTTTTTGCTTTATACGTTATGGTCGTCTTTTTCTTCCGTGTCTTACAGCATAACTTATAACTGTTTAGTTCAGTAATCTCTAAGATACAGTTTCCTTTTTATAATGAATTATTTTCACCTTTTCACATTTTTGGACACCACAATCACAAATGAATAAAGGTTCAATAGGTTTCATTCAGGTTTCAAAAGGTTTCAAAAGGAATCATTAGGTTTTTGGTAGATTATAAAGAGAAATATATCTGGTTTAATTTTATATATTAAGCCTTTTTAGCCGGGCCACAATTTTCATTTCCTATCTATAGTCGCATTTTTCTCTTTGCATAAGGTTTCTACAAATTTTTCAAGTGAACAACTACCAAGAGCTACTCTTCTCCAATAGGGACTTGCGACCATATTGCACTTCTTATCATGTGGATACCAATTCATGACTATTTTTGCTCCATTTTTATTAAATATAAAAGCTTGGCTATAAATGCACTATGAAACTATTACAACAATAATGATAACTTGTCTATAATGGAAGTTAGTGATAGGTTACAAGAAAATAATTATTTATATATTGGAACTGTCAAGGTTTAGAACTTCAGACATCGCAGATTTAGGGATAGTGCAATGAGATTATGTTTAACGGTAACACTGTTTAATCACTATGAAATCAAATAACAACTTGTACTTTCTATTAATTTTAATGATCAAAATAGGCACTAGGCGAAATGAAGGACAGTTTCTAGGTAGTGTGTGTGCAGCCCGAGAATCCAACCAATACTGTGTCCTCTCTCGTCTACTACCCAGAGTCCGTCGAGGTCCACTGGCAGAGGGAGCGCGTGATACACTCTCTAACCTGGAGGTGGCACCGCTGTCTTGCAGTTTTTTGTCAGTGCTCATGACCGTTTCCAACATATACATTATTTATGTCCAAGTTTATTACCTATATGTTGTAATAGTTACATACCTAAATTGAATCAGATAATAAGACTGTTTTAATTCCAAAACCAAGCAATAATGATTTTAACTTTTTAAGTGCTTTTTATTTTTGTTTCGACCATAATATACCAAATTTGATGTAATCAGAATAAGGTGCAAGAAACACCACTATTATTGCACAATCAGTGTATGGCCTTATTCAGAGAGGCAGTGGGCGCGGGTCGTGTAAATCAAACGTACGTAATTGCTCGTTGCGCTCACCGTACCGTACCTTTCACAGTACTTGTTCTAGCGTCTGTTTGCGATTTCGACGTGTGGATCTACCCACTCGTAGCTGCTTCAGCACTGCGAAAGGGAAGACGCCAAGACCCGCACCCGCTGCCGCGCCTGCGCCTGCTCTCTGAATTAACCCTTTAAGATTCAACGCAGTGACTCCATGCATAATTAACAATCATATAAAAACATACCTTCTATCGCAATCATCACATTTAAAAGGCTTCAAACCTTGATGTCGTCTCATGTGTTGAGCCAAATTGGTCTTCTGACTAAAACCGCGGCCACAAACCGAACATAAGAACGGTTTCTCCCCTGTATGAGTTCGCATATGATCATTCAACGTCGACAGCATATAAAATGCCTTGTTACAAAGTTTACATTGATGTTTCTTTTCAATCTTATGACTTTCCTTATGTAGATCTAAACTTTCCTGCGTACTAAAATTTGTGTTGCATAGCTCACATGGATACCCTTTCTCTCGAGTGTGTACGGACAGAATATGATTGTCTAAATGTGCTTTATGTTGAAATTCACGTTTGCAAGTATCACAAGTGAATTTCACACTAGATTTTATGTCATGGTTTTTCATGTGATTTGTGTAAGATGATTTACGGTTGAATTTACGCATGCAAAGTGTGCAGTGAAACTTTTCTATGTCATCTGCGGACTCGTTTTTATGCTTTCTTCTATGAAGCTTACATGCTTTCATTGTGTCGAATTCTAAGTTACATTCTGGACATATTATTTGCTGTTTTATTGTAATGTTACGTCCGCACATAACATTTTTCTTCTCAACTTTAATTTTTGTTGCTTTTTTATATCCATTACAGTAATTTTCTCTTAAATGTGTTTTATATTCATCTTTTTTGTTATAAATATTGCCGCAACTGCACGTGAAGACCTTTAACTCATTGACTGAAGAAGAACTGCTTTCATTGTATTCTACTGGTGGCTCAAAATCATTGTCAAAATCATTTTGAGGCTCAAATTCAGTTGATTCTTCAATTTTAACTAATTCTTCTGGGTTTTTACTTCTTTTAGGACTAGTTTGTTCATTAACAAAGTTTATGTTCTCTTTAGAACAAGAACTTAAAGAAATTTCGTTTGAAACTTCAGCTTTAGCGTCCCTTTTTAACATAGAATCAAAAACATCTTTTTCTGTATAATGGGAAGACTTTTTATTTACAACAGAAATTTGGGAAGGTATTTTATTAATTAATTTATCAGTTTCACGCACAATTTCGTCTTTTACAAGCGTTTTTCTGAATAAATCCAACTGGTATTGATCAAAGTCACCATTCTCGATATACCGATTTAAAAATGTCTCAGAATTAATGCAGCGTCGTTTAAACACGTCAGCTTTACACATAATAACTTCGCATACGTTACAGATCTGTCTTGGAAGCTTTTCCTCTGTGTTTATATTCAAATTTGAAACAAAACATAGCATTTCAAACAGCGTCCTGCATTCACCGTCAATAGTACTACTTAAAGACCTCATATTAGTTGATTCACACAAGCAAATCCTGCAAAATTTATCAGGACACCACATTGCATTGCTATCCATTTTGCTTTGTTTACTATAACGTAAATTCCTAACAAATTATTTAGAATAATCACAATAAATTATAATGGCTGTCATTTGTTTACGCTAAAGAAGTTTTTTTATTTTTTTATTTTTTTTTTATTAAGGCTTTGGCCAAAGCCATCAACCTAAACATGAAGTTTAATTATGTTTCTGTAAACATGGCCGCCACAAAGAGGATAGGCAATTTGAGGCGGCGTGCTTGGATTGACTCGGGATTCCTTAAAACGGACCGATACGGGTATTTTAGTTCGAGATTCGTATAATTTCGTTATTAATCGTTTAATCTTCGATTAAGGCACAATAGCACTATCCTATTCCACTTTAAACTAGAATTCACAAAATAATTGAAAGTCAAAATAAAAACGACACTTTTCCCTCCAAAAGGTCCAGAGCGAATCCCGCTAAAGAAGTCATTCACTGATTCTTTTTATGTCATACAAAGATTCAATCTTTCATTCAATCAATAGAGTGGGGACTCGAGTGGTGAATTATCACAAAAATATTAGTTTATTGTAATTCTAAATGAAACAACAGTATTAACAGTTATAAATTCTCTTTTATTTAATAACATTTGTAAGTAGGTAAACAAACATTTACTTTTCTTACAACACACCTTTAAAATACAATAATGTTCCTTACAAAATAACCGGTTTCACCAATGGCGCCAAATTCGGACAAACAGGCGTAGCTAGGGCGGAGCAACTACAGGCTGTAGTAATTGGTATCCTCGCACCGCAGGAACATTTACGAGTAGCAGGTACACAAGTACACGGATCTGTTAGACCACATGGGCAACCATATGCTGCAGATACTATGGGTAGAGCTGCCATATGAAATCCTAAGCCCGTAGGTAATTCAATTGATAGAGGCGGAAGAATCAGTTCTTTATTGCATGGGGGAATATATGGAGGTAGAGATATATATGGAGTTATTGTAGGCAGAATGATTGGGTATGATGTTGCCATCTGAAAAAAAAAATATTGATAAGGTATGGAGAATATAAAGTACAGTGTATATCACAGTGGGGAGCTTGCCTCCCAAACTGCTGGTCCGGGTTCTATTCCCTGTGGATACGATATTCTTAATTTTTTTTTCGAATTGAGTGCAGTTTTTCTATTAATTTGTAACATAAGCTCCAACTAAACTGCTGGTTAGTAAATTTGACCTGCCAATGACTACATTCAAGCAATAGAAAATCATGCTTTTTACAGTGTCAACAATTTTATAGATTCTTACTAAAATCTATGTTCAATTTTATGACGAGGATATCATTCTTTCATTCATTTATTATTGTCAATCGTACTGTGTTATCTTGCTGAATAAATGTTTGAATATAAAAATTACTATATCGAGAAAAAATCATGTAAATGTGAAGATTCATACAACTCTAAGATTTGTCAAGTTTCTGAATTCCATTGGGCCAACCCGGCGAATAATTTTCTAAATGCTCTCTTTTCATCACCTACATTTTTGAAATCATGTTTTGAAATAGTGTTGACCTCTAGAAACTAGTTCACGCTATAGTCTGATTAATGACTCCCTACCGCAGCCCATTAGTCATTCTTTTTTTCATTTTTTTTACAGCGTTACTGCTTTTTTGCCACAGACATAAAATTGAAAATTTGAACTAGCATACAAAATAAATTCTACAGGTCGTTACGAAGTCAGACTTCAAAATTTTTGCTTCGTCACGACTTGTAGAATTGTATTTTATATGATAGTTCAAAATTTCATGCATATCAGAACGTACTTGGCCTTTCTTATTTCGTAGATAATGCAATTTCTGCATTATCACAACATCACATACGTAATTTAACTATGATGTCGCATGATTACAACAGCAAAATATAAAAGGTTTGTCATTTTTAACATGGCGCCTAATTCGTCATAAGAATCTTAACGCATTATTTATCGGGTAAAAGATCTACTCCATTTACTCACTCAGCAAGTCATACAATGTAATGTGTCGTTTTTCATGACAATAAACCGTAACTTTTACATAATTGTAGATGCGTTAGCATCTAATAGTCCACGGAATGTAATCTTCAAACAAAAAATCTGAACTTCAAGTCTATGATTTTATCTGTGGTTCACATATCATAAGTGACAGGATTCGCTCTGGACCTTTTGGAGGGAAAAGCGTCGTTTTTATTTTGACTTTCAATTATTTTGTAAATTCTAGTTTAAAGTGGAATAGGATAGTGCTATTGTGCCTTAATCGAAGATTAAAGCGCGAAATTATACGAATCTCGAACTAAAATACCCGTATCGGCCCGTTTTAAGGAATCCCGAGTCAATCCAAGCACGCCGCCGCAAATTGCCTATCTTCTTTGTGGCGGCCATATTTACAGAAACATAATTAAACTTCATGTTTAGGCTGATGGCTTTGCCAACGCCTTAATAAATTTAAAAAAAAAAAAAAAAATCATAAGTGACAGACAGATTCGCTCTGGACCTTTTGGAGGAAAAAGTGTCGTTTTTATTTTGACTTTCAATTATTTTGTGTACAGCATCTAATAGTCTGTGAGACAGGATGTCGAATGTTAATACCCGTTTTAACGGAAGAGGTTCTCGCCCAACTGGCGAAACTCCCATCCAGCCTGGAAAGCCGGCTAGGGGAGATAGGAACCAACGTAGAGCGTACGAATTCCAGCAGCGGAAGGCAGCTGAAGAAAACTGCTTTAAAGCGCGTAAATACAAGAGGCCTCGGAAACCTACTAAGCGCAGTACTCAGTGGAGGAGCATAATAGCAGCACCTCCCAAGGAGAAGAAAGACCATCCTGATGTAGCTATAGGTTTTAGAACCAAGGACGAGACTAGCCCAGTTGATGAGCCCGTTTACGATCTGGGGCCACACACAGGCTCCATTCCAGTACAAGAATTTTACAGTCAAAATGGTGAATTCTCAGGGTACATCGACCAGATAGAACGTTCTGAAACACGTAGGGGTAGTGATCCAGGTACCTTATTACCTGACTCTCCACAAATACAAACTGCACACTATGTGAGCCACAACAACAATGTACCTCAAAGCCAAAAGGGAAAAGCTGATGAGAAAATAACCCTTGAAAAATTTATTGTTATATTACAGCACAACAATGATGATATTATCAAAAAAATGAAAAACTTATTACAAGAGCAAATAAACTCTGTGGTAACAAAATGGGAAGAAGACTTCAAAAAATATACACAAACAATATCTATAGAGCAGTCAAAAATTAAAGATAATATAGCTGTCCTCAATAACAGAATAACATCACTATCTGAAAAGTGCTCTGAACTAAAGGCTGAAAATGAAAATATGCAAAGAGAATTGAATAAACTATTAGCATCTCAAGCCACCCCTGAAATACATGAAGCTAACGAAAAAACTCTCGTCCTGCATGGATTACAAGAGAAAGAGAAGAAGGATTAGAAAATAGAATTTAATGTATTCTAAATATAAATCTTACAGGTTACATAGAAGAGTTTACATATATTGGAAACAAAAAAAACCTATGGAAGACCAATTAAGATAGAGCTAATTAGTAAAAAGATGAGAAAGTATATTTTAGAAAATAGTATATATTTTTAAGAAGCGGGTCTAAGCGTAACAGAATGCCTAAGTAAATAAGCTCTACAAGAGAGGAAAAAGTTGAAACGGGCTCTATATGATGCCAGGAAAATCGGTCACTTTGCTGTAATAAGAAATGGTAAATTGTTTGTGTATACTGTAATTGTAATTGTTTATAATTTTTGGTGGTGATTTTAATGTAAATTATAAAGCTAAAAATACCCTTTCAGACCTATTGTTAATGTATAATTTTCTTCAACTAGTAAAAGAACCTACAAGAGTTACAACTAATAGTTCTACTTGTTTAGACCTGATATTTACTAATTTTTCCAATAAAAAAACTTTAGTTAAAGTACAAGAACTGGGTTTCTCAGATCACCGAGGAGTATTTATATCAACTTCTCTTTTTACACCAAAAATAAATTTCTTAATTTCAAAACGAAATTTTACTGAAGGAAATATGATGAAATTTAAATGTGCATTGCAACCAATAAACTGGAATGAAACCTTTGATGCTGGTAGTGACATAAACAAAAACTATAAAAAATTTAATGATATACTCCAAAAAATACTAAATAAATGCATACCAAAAGAAAAACTATATCACACCAGGACTAAAAATATCTTGTCGTAACAAACGATCTCTAAAAATACAATAATAAGAAAATATTATAAAACATACTGCAAAATACTTAAAAAAGCAGTATTCAAATCTAGAAAAATAAATAATATTAGACATTTTAATAAATCTCGCAATAAAATTAAATCTACATGGACAATTATAAATAAAGCAACAAATAAAATCCCTTATAAAAATATAGAACTTAAAATCGATACTTTACAGATAATTAAAGAGCCTAAATTAATCGCTAATTCTTTTAATAAATTTTTTGCTTCAGTTGGAAAAATAAATAGTACCAGCCAACAAAAACAACCCCTTATAAACGTGCTTGAGAACACATTTTTTTCTTGGACAACCAGATGAAAAGCAAGTAAA